GCCGAAGTAGTATGGCTCTAGACATGTCAGTGTTTTAGCAAAAACTAAAATTAGAAAAGGAAAAAAAAGAAAGAAAAGAAAAAGGGGCCAGTCCCTTTGAAATCCAGAGTAGAAAGGTTCATTGATAGAAGTGAGCATTGGGGTAGCAGATACACACATCAGAATTACTGCGTCCACGTGAGGGATGGGGAGGAGCTGCACTCTTCATGTTCCCAGGAGCAGGGAAACCTGCTCTGATCAAATCTTGAGCTAAAACTTTTCCTGACTGATCCTGTTCAGCAGTGTGTAGATTTTGAACAACAGTCTTCCCAAGTGGCTGGTTAGTGCCATAAGGTGGAAAGTAACTCATCATTCTCTAGAATTTGTGCATTATTTCAGTCTTGCAGGGATTTGGTAGTAATCAATTTACTGTCACCCAATACTGAATTTTGCTAACAAACTTTGTAATGTGGCCTCCCACTATTTGGAGAGACTGTATTATCACCAGGCACATAGTTCTAGCTTTTTTTTATTTTTTCAGGAGACAGAGATAAAATTATTGTACCAGAATCACTACAAAACTGGAGAAAACACCACACACCTTTCCTTGTAGGGTGATGAAAGCTTATATGGTGATGCTGGCTGCAGTGTCTTATCAGAAGAGATCAGAAACAGACTGAAACCTTCAGTTGTACTCAGTAATGTTAGTAAATTCATTACTGATAGAATGGGACAGGAAACTTCTTTTCATGTCCAATGAAAATACTAGGGATTTAAAATTACATTTGTCTATTTATTAGAGGGTTGAACATTGAAATTTTTTGTTAAAAGTTGTTTTTTAAGTAGTTCAAGTCAGTTGACTCATATTGTTTATGTAATTTAAAACCACATTATTTAAACCAATTTTAAAACCATAATTAGATTTATTTTTGGAATAAAACTTGTTTAAACTAAAAGACATTCTTTGAAATGGAGAAAAACAGTCTAAAAACCAAATTGTTGGAAGCAGAAATATTAAAAGTTCTGTTCAATATTGACAAATGAGTTTCAACAGACAAAAACTTTACTTAAAAACTGCCTGCCCATTTTATTGGGGATAGAAACACAACTCTGGTAGGTCTTTTCCAGTACAGTGGACTGTAGGAGGATGTTTCAATATTATTTGTTGCCTCAAAACATGTAATAAACTATCAGATTTGCAATAACTAGGTTCTGCAGCACTGTTTTGCTATAATTTAAGATTTTCTAGCAAACTGTAAAGTTGAGCAATGATATGTTTGTGTGTATACATAAATATATAGCAAATTTTATTGGACAGATGCTTTCACCTTATATATACAACCTTATCTGTAAAGGGGGTCACAGTTCACAGTTGATGTAATCTCCAGTTGTTGCTGGCAAAATAGGTAAGGTTGTACACAGCCTTGAAGATGACTTCAAGATAATTTAGGATAACTACTACCTGTCTTGAAAAAGAGATTTTTCTGATCTATGACATTTCTCTTCTTACAAATCTCTTTTAAAAGGTGGATCTTGATAATTTCTTTTGGAATAGATAGCAATCAGCAGACAGGTTCCATATGAATGCCTTTTTCCCTAAATAGCGTAGAGAATTGTTTTCTGCAAAAGATCTCACCAATTGGTCAAGCAACAGATGCTCATTTCTGCACCTAGGAGCTTGTGCTGCACTCACTGCCTTACCGTCTCCTCCTTCAGCATTTGGCAGGGTGCCTGCCGGGGCTCTGCCTGGCTCCTCTCCCAAGCGCAGGTGCTATCAGACACCCCTCCAAATCCAGTGTCGCCTGTATAGACCTCTGTGTTCAGATGTAAGGAGTCGGGCTCTACCTGGTCCCCGAATGCTTTTCGGATATCTTGAACTGTCTGGTTACTTAAGACATGAGGCATTATTCCAAGATTTGCAGTAGTCCCCATTCTATTTAGAAGAGTGAATATGTCAGTTAAAGAGGTAAGTTATTTAAATAGCTAATGCATTTGACAAATGCAGTCACCGCTGAAACAGTAAAAAAGGCAAAAAGAGAATTTGCGAGAAAATGTGCAATTTTTAATATGAAATCCATAATTATCTTATCAGTATTTGCTTAAAGGCAGAGTTGGCACAGTATTAAAATGTCACACAGTTTGAAGAGCAGCAGAACCCCATAGCTGCTTGCATTACAGGCTGAATACAACAGGAAACTATAAAACATATTCATGCCATACTAAAATGTTTGGAAACCTACTGCAGCAGCATAGATGGAAATGTTTAAATAAGATGTTACACTAAGATGTCATTGAATAGAAAAGCAAGGAACAGTACAGCAAAACCTTGATGTGTAAGTAATCAAATCTTTACCTTTCCTGCTAGAAATGCTAAAATGTAGTAGATCTTTTTAATTACAAATGTTAAATAGATGCCAGTCTGAGTGCCACACCAAAATATAGATTGTAAAACAAGAGAGTTAATAAACCCTCAAATGTTTTAAGGAATTATCCACTTCCTCTGTTAAAGTGAGAACTAAAATACAACACAGACATATGTGTAAGATAGGAAAATATTTCTTCATGCAAATAGTATAGTCACCTTAATTCATAATTTAAGAATGCCTATTAAGAGGAGGAGGAGGCTGTATACATTGGGGGATATCCTGTATAACTCTATGCTCAGCTTTATTTTAGTCTGTGATTGAAATATATGAAATGCTAATTTTTATATAGGTAGTTGCAGTTTGAAATTTATATGCTGTGTACAATAGTATGTGGACCTACTAATTAGTAATTCCATATCCATTTTGAGTAAAAGAGCAAAAAACATGATACTTGGCTTGACTGCGCTATCAGTAGTGTTAGTTAAACTACAGAGAGAGATAGTATGGAAATACAACTCATAAATCCCACTGTATAGAATAGGGATAAGATACTCATTTATTTCTTCCCCAAAATCAATTAATTCTTAGTAACAACACAGTAGTTATTGAAGTAGCCATTATTATAAGTCTAAAATGAGAGTAATTGCAGAGGTTTGATGTAAAGCTAAGAAACGCGGTGTTAATCTGAAATGAAGAGTTTAAATACAGAATTATGATATACTTGGCTTTCTGTAGTGTAGCTGTCAGGCTTGGGCGGTTCGCTGGTCAATAGTGACATTCTGTGTGTCAGTGAACAGAGTCTCCTGATACCTTAACCTGCAGTTCACACATTACTGCAGCTCCAACTGTCGAACATTCATGTCCCTTGGTACTACTGCAGCTTCCAGACTCTCCTGACTGGCTCATGTTTCATTCTTTGGCAATTTGCCCTAATGATATCCCTCAGGAGCTTTCAGACCCTCTTCTTTTCCATATTTAATCGTGTTGTATTAATCTGAGTGCTGAGCAAACTATGCTGCACAAATTGTAGCTGTCCGTGATTTCTGCTGCGATGGTCTTATAATTATTTTTTTTCATTTTTAGTGTAAAAATACATGTACAAAATCGCAGTATAATTTTTATTTACAAGTCTAAATGTCCAAGACAGCCAGTGTGTGAAAGCTTTAACTGCTGATCTGTTCCACAAAGAGGGTTTTTTTTCCTGTAAAATCCGTAATGTTTTAGCACTTGCTGTATGGACAGGATTTACATTTTATTTTTAGCTCTTTGTTTCGTTACTGTAAAAGTACATGTCTAATAAACAGCGCTATTATCAAGTTAACCTCAGATAGTAATTTTGTTGTGATATAAAACACTAGGACAGTCATGTCTTTTTCCTTAAGCTTGGTGTCTTCTACCTGGGGCATTCCCTTTTTTTTTTTTTTTTTTTTTTTTTTTTTTTTTTTTTTTTGGGGTTTTTTGTTTTTTTTTTTTTTTTTTTTTTTACACTGCATCTTTGAGTTTTTCTTCTGTCTCCTTTGCATCTACGCTGGGCATCACTACCCCCTAAATGAGATCACAGTCTTTTAGGATTGTTACTTCCTGTTAGAGTTGGTTTTTTTTTCCTGGGGGCTCCCCTTTTTTTTTTTTTTTTTTCTTTTTTTTTTTCTTTATTTTATGAGGTTTTTAGTGTTTTATTTGCTGGATATAGGCTACCTCATTTTGAACACAGTCTTGATGTTTTCTCATTCTGTGGTAACTCTGTGGCTGCGTAATAAAATAGATAAATTTGCATGACTCCCTGACAGCAAAGCGGTATTTGATAGATCAAATTTGAGTTCTTTAGGTATTGCAGATTATTTTGTTCACTTGAGGAGTGAGCTAGACCACGTTTCTAACCAATTCCATAGTTGTGGGGTTTTTTGTTTTTGTTTTTTTTTGAGGTGAGTGGCTTTTTTTGTGGTGGTTTTTTGTTTGTTTGCTTGTTTTAGAAGAACAGGTTTTGAATGGTAAGCGGATTGTAACACCACCTTTCTTGGTCAAGAAGTTTTTAATTTTCTGGTGATGCTAGTGCCAGACTTGCCAGTCTCTGCTTTGGGAAGGGAGTTTTTGAAAACTGTAATAAAGTTGCTTTGCTGTCACAGGGAATATTCACTTCAGATTTTTTTAAAGGTAGTTTGGAAATCAAAATAGTGGCACAAACAGAAATTAATCCTGCTCCTGAGTTTAATGCTCTTCTGCGGCTTCATGCAGTTTCAGATCAATTCCAGTTGTTCCAAATAGCAGAAATGTGGACCATAAAACTCCCCTGAGTCTTCCCCGCTCAGCAGAGCTGAGTGCAGCTGGGCTGCACTCAAGTTCCGTGTGTTCATGGCAGTACCCACATTTGATAAACCTCAAATAGTGCATGTTTATTTTCTTTTTTTCAAGGAAATAGCTGAGCAGGGCTAACTTTTAATTGACTTGTTAGTCTGACTTCTTGCAAATGTTGTACTTCTGTATGTATATCAGAGTTCTTCATAGATGCATTTAAGCAATTAAAAGTAATTAAAAATGCTATAAAAGGTGGTTTGTTGAGGTTAAGACTCTTACATGTCTAAAAATTAATTTAAGATTTTGTATTTTCTTTTTATTCATTTTTTTTTGCCGATTCTCTGTGTGTATTTTTATTTTTAGTTAACTGCTTGTGTTCATGCATCAGCTGCATTGTTATATCCAATGTATTGGCAACACATTTACATCCCAGTGCTTCCTCCACATCTTCTGGACTACTGCTGGTAAGACAGCTAACTTGTTATCCCCATTGCTGAGATTCTTACCTGTCTTGTAATTCTAAGTAACTGATGAAAACACTAACTACTTATGTGACTAAATATACAAGATCCAATTTATGAAAGCATTTAAGCCAGTGCTTAAGTGATGACTTGAATGGAGACATTTCAGCATGCCTTTATGTGGTGTTTGAATTGGTACCTTGAATTACAGTGCTGATTACTATCAATGCAACATTTAGAATCATGTTTGTAATAGCTGTTCCTGTTTTATTGTTAGAGAATGCATTCAGTAATTTAAATGTGGCTGTGTTATGGTTTTCTTTTATTTGGCATTTATCTTAGCTTGAGATAAAAGATAGTGATAGAAGCACACAAAAAAAAACCAACCCGATCAGTTTTTCCGGAATCAAATGTTAGTAGGCATCAATGTTTCCCCTAGGTCTATCCGATAATTTAATATTTGTATTTTAGACTCAGCCAGGTTCAGGATCCTATCCAACACCTTCCTGAAAGCTGAAAATCTCCTTTTGATACTTCCAAAATTTTCATTATAAGAATTCTGCTTCTCCCGATGTGTTTCTCTTCACATGACAGGCTTCATGGTTTTGGCAGATTTTAAAGTTGAACAAGAAAGAATCACTTTTGAGTCACTTCTGATCCTTCAAGGGATGAAGTTTCCACATGCCTGTGTTTTAAGATTCCAGGCTAAGAAGAGATCTACTTTCTTTTATTCGTAGTAGTGCCAGAGATACCAAATAGGAGTTTCCATTAAAGCACCTAAAACAGGAGTATCCATCCCTGGAGACTTTCGCTTTAACTAAACACTGGATCTGTGGTGGAGAAATGAACCATTTAAAGCCATTTTAGAGATCAGGAATTGTTATTATATATAAAAACTGAGTCCAAGTCAGATGCCTACCAACATAAGTCTATGTTTCTGTTACTAATGTTTTTCTTCACAGAAATAAATTATTCTTGTATGTCTGCTGGATTTTATGTTTTGTTTTTCTTCTGGTACCTGTAAATATTGATGTTCCATTGAACTCCACCCAGTCTATTGAACTTCTTGTTTTCAAAGAAATTCTCATTGTTTCCTTAAGTCTCTGATAGTTTTTCCTCAAGTTTACAATATTTGCCCATGGTATATCTTTTTCTGTGATAGTTTCTATACTTCATATGTATATTATTTATTGTTTTTAAAAAGAAATCATAGAATCATAGAATCGTTAAGGTTGGAAAAGACCCTTAAGATCATCGAGTCCAAACGTTAGCCTAGCACTGCCAAGTCCACCACTAAACCATGTCCTCAAGCACCACGTCTGCCTGTCTTTTAAATACCTCCAGGAATGGAGGCTCAACCACTTCCCTGGGCAGCCTCTTCCAGGGCCTGACTACCCTTTCAGGGAAGAAGTTTTTCCTAATATCCAACCTAAACTTCCCCTGGCACAACTTGAGGCCATTTCCTCTCATCCTATCGCTTGCTACTAGGGAGAAGAGACCGACCCCCACCTCGCTACAACCTCCTTTCAGGTAGTTGCAGAGAGCAAGAAGGTCTCCCCTCAGCCTCCTCTTCTCCAAACTAAACAACCCAGCTTCTCCCACTCCTCCCCTTACTTTCAACTATAGCTAAGCCTTTCATCTTTAATGATAGTTTTCTTTTGAAGAAACTCTGTCCTAATTGTTTTTCCTCCTAGCTTTGATAAAATACACCAAGATGGGGGTAGAGCTTGGATGTATTTGTTTAGGTTTTGTATTACTTGAGCTTACTGCCAGAAGCTTTGTAATTTCTTCAGTATCATCCATAAATGCTGCTCTCAGAAGGTAGATCAACACCTTTATTCAAGCTGTACCCTGCAGAGTGCATCCTGAATACTAGAAGATTTTTTTATTCCCTCTCCTAAGCACAGATAATGTTTCCAGAAATAATAATGTTAGATGCTGTACACAGCTTCTTGTGATGATGATAGTAGTGAGATTCTAGGTCATTATGGCATGACCTGAGATTTTTTTTTACTCATTAAGAAGAAGCATGGAGTTTCTTAAACTTGTAAAACTCATTTATATCCCTTTTTCTTTTTCACAGTAGTACAATAGAGTGGGGAAAAAAAAAGTTTCCCTTTTTTAGAGATGTTCAAATGGAAGCTTGAAGTTCACAAAAGGAAATGCACAACTGATGAATTTACCACAGTAACTGTAATTCAGACCTTTTAACTCAGATTTTTGTTCATTTACATTTCTCTATCTGCTCATGTCTGGTTTGAATGGTTCTTTTGTGAGACAGGTTGGAATAGTGTAATAAACCCACATAAAATACTTAGCTTGCCTCATGTTTTGGCATATTAAGAGTGAATAAATATTTTTCTCATAGGTATATGATATATCAAGTTAGAAAACCTTGATGAATTCATAAGGTCAAAGTTTATACTAGGGCAGACCTAGTCTGCAGTCCAAGAGGGTCATGTCAATTTAAAAGTAATAAAATAATTGTCTAATTCTGTTTTATATTTTTCGCTTTGGTAGAACAAAGTTCTTTTATAAAATTGCCTTTTTTCCCTTTAGCTTAACATGCATTTTTATTCCTAGAAACTACGTTGTTGTTGCTTCACTTGGACTTTGTTGCGCTGTCTCCCATGAACTCTCATTTTCTTAGTGTTGTTCTGAAATGGTATTCAAATAAATGAATTAGCGGATTATCAGTTTGATAATTTTGTTCGTTCCAAGGGAGTAAGGCCATTTCTAAACAAAGATAAAATGCATTTAAATCAACTGGTTTAAATATAGGCCCTGATCCTGCAACTTTTCATTGCATATTAATTATCCAATGTATTTTGAGAGAAATCCGCAATTTTTTTTAGTGAGTTGGATTATATATATATTCAAAGTTTCGTAAAGATAAATGATATGATTCTGTGGGGGTTAGAATTTGATAAATTACATAAACTGCTCAGCTTGTACATTTTGTGGGCAAGAAAAAAGCAAAATGTGTCTTTGAGTAAAACAGATCTATATTAAAAAAATATTTAAATTCTTCCCCTTGTCTTTTTAATCAAAAAGCCTCTTAAGTTCTATCAGGCAACCTGATATACAGACTGGTTTTAGACATAATGTAACGGATGTTCTTAAAGTAGTCCAAACCCACCAGTACTGAGCATCAGTGTGGACTGGCCAGGTTATGAGTACTTGCAAGGTCCAGTCTGTGAATGTACTGCATATTTATTTACTTCAGGAAGTTTTTTTCCCCCATGTAGCTTATCTTGGCCTCGATTTCCATTATGAGAACTCCAATGTGAGAATTGGAACAACTATCCAAAAAAGAAGAGATGATAAATTTCTTTTTCTAGAAGACAGCAAAATATTAGGCAGTGAAAGTAATTTTCATTTTAGCTCTAGACTAAGAAAACCCAGGAGAGTTGCTAAAAATGGAATTTTCTGAGTATTTTTTAAGCCTTTATTTCTTTTCTACATTTAAGTAAGCAAAAACATATTGTTGCACTCAGCCCAGTAGGTGGCTGGCTTTCAGGAAAGCTTTTACAAAAATTAAGTTTGAGCATTGATACAGTAATTATATTTGAATAAAATTAATTTTTGTAAAGGAGAAATTTAATTTCATCAAATTTCTGTGTAATTTCTTCGCAAACTAAGTCACTGCTAAAAGAATGTATGACAGTTTTGTCTGTGGATGATAAAGCATCTGTTCTACTGATGGTCTGCTAAGAATATAATGCAATTAGAAAATTCAAGTTACAATTGCAACGTGTCTTTTTATGAGATTTGGTCTCTTCTGAATTGGGATATAGGCATGCCTGTTTTCCTGAGAATGGGGCAATTATTTTCCAATTAACTTGCATGTTTTGCATAACATAGTAATTATTTTAGGCAATGATGCTGTAGATTAGTAACATTTTTGGTAATAACGTGCATAAGCAAGAGAAAAACTATATGGCAGCTCCCAGTAGTATCACAGTAAGCAATTTTGTGTACATATTACAAACCTCTGCTGTTAAGGCTTCAGAATCCAGCAGTAATAAAATTCATTCTTTGCTGAATATGATCAAATTGACTTTCCATGCCTGAAATTTTTATTTCATGCATTTTCAAGATGTGTTTATCTAATTAGCTTTGTACCTTTATTCTGTTAACTTCTCAAAATTGAAATGATGTAGCTGTTGCTTTGTTCCATAGAAAAGAGCTACACGCTACTCTTTTTAATGACAGATTTATTAATGGAGCAAATCATCAGCTGTTTTAAGTTAGTACAGGCCTGGTGCAGCTGCTAGAACAGTGTCGGTGTACAAGAAAACAAGTGTGCATAAAATGCATACATGATATAGCGCTTGTTTTCAGCATAGCTTCTCCAGTTCATGTTATTTGTAACACTAACAGAACTCTGATGCGATGAACCTGAGGATCTATTTTGCTGCATATTCAGAAGAAGAATCCTCAGTTACGTGTCAGTCACTGGTCATTCTCATTGGCTTGGTTAAATATGTTACGTAGTATAAAGCGCTCTTAAAATTACAGAGTGTTTTAAAGCTGTCTGATTCCTCACTGAATATAAATGCATGTCTGCTCTGGAGGGGCACCCATTTATAATCATATAACCATGCAACTTGTGTTTAGTCCACAAAGGCATGAGGCCTTAGCCTGGATGAAGTCATCAGGAGGTACTAAAATTTTTCAGTATTGGGCTAAGAAAAAGATGTGTGGGGACATGGGGGTCTCCATTTCCCCTTTTGGAAGCCCCATTGCCTAGAAACCTTAAGCCATGACAGTTTTCAGTCTCAGCAAACCTTTATTTTGATAGTATAAACATGATAAAAGCTTATTTTGGCCTCAGCCAGTCTGGGTTTTGGGTGTTTTTTTGTTTGGCGTGGTAGTTTTTTGGTTTTTGGTTTGGTGGTTTGTTTTTTTTTGCATTGATCCTCTCCTGTGGGACATTGTTAATGAGAGCAATTGGCTAATCCACAGTGTGTACAGATTTTGCTAAAACTGGCTGCAGTCACAGGCAGGTGAGAATTGCTACTTTTGGTCCCAGAGTTGGGACCAAATTGATGTGGCCATGTGAACTGATGCAGTGAAGCCTCTCCTCGGGCCTCAAGTCAATTGCCCATCAGTTGGTGCCAGTGGCTCAGATCCGTGATCGAATTAATGCAATGGGAGAAATTATTGTATGTCAGCTATCGGTGTAACTTTGTATGAGTCATCTTACCTTCCATTTATTTTTCAGAGATTATTTTTATTTCGTTTTTTTCTCTCTGCTCCCTTAGTATTTTGTTTCCCACTGAGTTGCTTAAACCAGCCTATCTATTGCTCGCTTCTCTGGAGTGAATAGTTTTAGTAATCTTGCAGTACCCAAAAGTGTGATGATCATTGGATGTTTTTTCCCTTCAGTGCTGCATACTGAGTATATTCTTTGTCAGATGTTGGCAGAACACATTCACTAGAGAAAGAAACAGAAGATTATAGGAAACCGTGATAATTTAGCCTGACTAATTCAGTTTCTTGCTTGCGTGCTGCAGGAGGTCTCACTCCAGAGGCTTTGTGTGGATATTTGTTTTATTTTGAGAATATAGTTCCTTGTCTTATTCAAATTGGAAATGAGAAATTTACTATCTTCAGTTAAATAGGATATGATACAGCTTCCACATGCCGACCGAGGAAGGGTTTCAGAAGCACATCCACAACCAAAACTGATGTTAATGATGTTTGCATTGCAGTGTGGTGATGTTAACTGGTACCATATTCTCCAGAATGGTGTTTTAAAGCCATTCCAGTTCTAGAGACACACCACTTTTGGAACATCTGCTAGGTTAGCTCTGCCATACGGTATGGTTGGTTGTTGAAACTAGGTACGGCAAGCAGGTTAGCAAGCCTTCATGTCTTCCCGCTCGTACTTCCATAGTCAGAAAGTGTCCTTTATTTCGAGGTTGTCTTTACTGCAGAGTAAAAAAATAGAATAAATTCCCCTTTCCTAGTAAAAATTTCAGTAGCAACTGTGTAAATTTAATATAGGCTTAAACAGTGAATGTTAACTAGGGACTGTATGTACCAAGATTTTAGATTTTTTTTGCTCCACAAATGTTGTAGTAGTTGGTACTTAAAACAATAATTTGATGTTTTCCACTTTTTTTCTTCAGTGCACCGATGCCTTATCTAATTGGTGTCCACTTAAGCTTAATAGAGGTAAGTTTACTATACACTTCTGCATACTGGTAAGCGTGAGGTGTGTGTGCCATAAATGGTAATTTGAATGGAAATGCTTCAGAAAGAATCCCTGTGTTGTAGCATACAGAATTACAAAATTTAAGCTTCAGATGCTTTACAAAGTGAAAAATGTCCCTCTTTGAAATCTTACTTTTGAAGTGTTTTATGGAGACTTGTAAGCTCTACATCATGATTTGTTTCTGTGTCTATTTAATAGCTCAATGATAGCTTTTTTTGTGCCTTTTTTAGTGGTTCAGCAACAGATTTTCCCAACAATAAGAACAGTTAAAATTTATTTTGGAGCTGCCATCAATCAAAATTCAGCATCATTCTGATTTCCCAGATAATTTACATTCCTGTTCCTCTGAAAATCTGAGTCTAACATTCATCCCATAACATTCATAACTATTAATGTAGAAATGAATATTTTTTGCCAAGAAACAGGAGGTAGCCTTTTCAGATTTAAACATACAACATACAACAAAACAAATAGAACTCACCGAAGCAGTAAGTAATAGCTGGGTCATAAATAGCTTTGCCTCTTTCCATAACTATTCGATGACACCATTAAGCCTACGTGTGTAGTCTGATTATCATGCAGAGTAGATAATTGATTTGGGAACTTTAGTTGATTTACACTTCTGCTAAAGCAGTTTCTAAGGGTCAATTCACATGTGCTAAGCTGATGAGGTGTGTTATCCCCCAGTATGAGTCACTAGCACTTTTGTGTTGCCAAAAAAGAGCCTTCTATCATGTACACTTCTTAACTCTAGGCATAGCCTTCTGTTCTCTCAAATGAAGTTCTTATGATCTGCATACATAGATCATAATATCTTGACTAGGATCTTTTTCCTTATTCCATCAGAACATAATGGAACAGAAAGGCTTGGTCTGAAAAAGAAGTCACTCAGTTCCTTCTGGAATTTTTTCCTGGACTGCACTATTATGTATTATTGTAGGACCATATAGAAAAGAATTCTATTGTTTTTTCCTGAAAGGAATAAATTGTTTAATTCTTAGCTGCTAGTCAAGTTCCATTAATGAAAGATCGTTTCATCCATTCTTCTATAATACTAGTAGACATCACATGCCTGGGACTTACAGAAATCTGCAAATAATTACTTATTTTTCTCTGTTTTTCATGTGATTATATGATGAACATCCTATCTTTCAGAAATATGAGAGAAAAAAACATTGTTAAAAGATATGTATAGTTCCAATATATTTAACTGTTTTGTGTAAATCTTTGTTTTCAAGAATTCATTTCTTGAATATGTGTGTATTTCAGAGATTATTAATATAACCTTATTGTTCGATGAAGAGGAAATGTTTTTAAAAGCTAATCTGAATCCTGTGTCTAATTCACAAATCCTACATCTAAAGCTCAAAATGTTGTCTTTGCCATTATTGTCCTTTGTAAAATCATCGTTTGTAATCTAGCACATTATAATAAAAATGTACTTCAGGAGGATGCCATAGTAAAATGCTTTTCCACTATTTTTTTTCCCTCTTAACAGAGAGTAAAAAACAGATCACTGGAGGATGTGGTTTTGTTAAATGTTGACACAAACACTCTAGAAACCCCTTTTAATGACCTGAACAACCTACCTGGTGAAGTGGTGAGTCTTACAGATATTTCATTTCTTCTCTCTTATATAGATGCTTGAATTACTAGTAGTTATTTTTGCCTGGTTTTGCTAACTGCTATGAAAGGAATAAGGGGCTGAAAAGCACCGAGTGTAGACCCCTATATTTGAGATTTTTACCTTTTTGACAGTTGAGGAGATGTTGAATGGAACATCATATTCCTTATTGTAAAAGTAGGATCATAATTATAAAGCTAGCTGCATTCATTAGGCATAGCTGCTTTAAACGCAAGAGTCTCTTCATGTCATCTTAATCATTATATTACAAAGTAGGCATTTCTGTCTGCCTAGTGGCATGTCTTGCAAAAGAACGAGAGAGTTTTTGAAGGCAAAAAGAAGAAGGGGGCCAATTATCGGCTTCTGCTTCTCTGCCACCTGCCAGCGTTTTCCTTTTAATTAATGATCTGATGGCACTGGTCAATATAATAAGAAATGCTTGTACAGTTGGGGTCAGAAAATTCAGGCTTTGATCTTCTTCAACTTTCTGAAACATTTATTTGTTTTCTCTAAATTATTTCAGTTTTATTTTAATCTCTTCTATCCTGCTGAGGGCTGTGTGAATGAAAACCTATACTGTTTGTCATTTGCTTTGGCAGAGCAAAGACTGCTTACTTAGAATTCTATTTGTAAATTAAACTGCAAACCCAGTTTGTCATAAAAGACATCTGATCCTTTTGAAATGACGAAAACTGTCTTTTGTCTGTAAAGGATGATAAATTAAGTGCCAGTTCTTTCTGGACTTTGATCTTGCAGAGGGTGCCCCCCCCCCCCCCTTTTTTTTTTCTTATTGCCTATAGGGGAACATATTCTGTATATCATTTTAAATAGTCGCAAAATTCACTTGTTTTTCCCAATAGAGCTCTAAAAGAATATCATTGTGAAACTACTGTTTTGATTATTTAGTTATAGATGCTCAAGCTATCACAAATGGTTGTCAGCACAAAGAATTTTATATCGAAATGTGAAATCAGAGAGTTATATTTTCTGAAATCGTAAATCACAAAAACAAACTGTCTTAATCAAAGTAAGGCGCTGTAGCGATGTACTATGTCATTTGTTTTTGTTGGTAATTTGTATGTATTTGGTACAATAGAAATCAAACTCTTGATGATTATATTAATGTCAGTTCCCTTTGATTTTAGTGATGTTAAAACCTAGACTTTTTATAGATCACCTGGTCAGTCTTTCTTTTGACGCAGTATCAACTATAGTTCAGAAACGTAAAAGGCTATATAAAAATTATTCTGATGTTTTGTGATTTTACGTTAGTGTATGAAAAAGTATACACACACACACATACATGTATGTACAGTAATTTTGACTGTGCTCTATCATTCAAGAGTATAACAAGTTAAGTAAAAAAGTACTGGTGTGTCAGTAATTTTAACTGACCTTGCATTCAGTAAATAAGGTTGAGGTGGTAATGTCATGGGGGTGCATACCTCTTGTCAAATAATAGCTAGATGCAGAACTGAGAATTAGGCATCATCTTCCATAAGATACTGGAGTTGTAGCTGGAGATCCTTCGAACAGTGAAAATGGATATTTGTGCAATGAGAGGGATTTCTCATTTATTTTACAGATGCATATCAAAATGATCTCTAAATGAGCAGGCTAGCATGAAGAAAAAAGGAATACAGATCTTCCTACTTCTAGAAGTATATTCTCCCCCAGGATATATACATGTTACTATTATTAATGTTAATGAAGGTTATCCAAGTGTACAGACTATACAGTAGACTTAAAATATTTAATTCCATATCTAATATAGAAAAAAACAGAACAACTATGTTCTATGCAAAATATACTTGCAGAATATGGGGATTTTATAATGAAGCTTTTAATTTGAATATTCCCATCTCTTCCTCTACTTCAATCTGTAAAGCACTTTAATTAAACAATTTAATGGAAAACATATATAATTATAGTTGGAAAACCTGGAAACAAAAGGCAGAGACAACATCCGTGTTTGGCTCGTAAAATGACAAAATGCTTGTCCGTCTTTTGCATTCGTGAGGGGCACTGCAACTGCTAACATCTTGGTTAAAAGGTATAAGATAAGAGCATAGAGTCAAAATGGTAAGTTAGACTTAAACATTAAAGCAAATTTCAAAGATACTTACGTATGTGAAGCATTTTAACCTATATAAATAAACCTCATAAGCATACGTACAAAGGTAGTAAAACTTCTGATAAAAAAAAAAATATAATGAGTACCTCTGAAGGGTGTTAAAATAGAATGAAGAACTGAAAATGTAAAAGAAGCTCTAGTCTTACTATCCCTTTCAAAAATTGATTCCAGGTTGGTTAACAGCCTAACAAAAGAAATTCAAAGAGTTTTCTAAAACTGTTTCTGGTGTCTGAAGGAAATTGAGTAATTATTTTCTTGATCAATAAGCCTGATGATGTCCTCACACCATAGGTATTTAATAGTTTACCCATGTATAAGTAATACGTCTATTAAAATGTTCTGATTGTGATTTTTTCATGATAAATTTAAGATTGAAAAAACATTATTATATGGCATTGTCTAATAAACTGTATAATAAATTAACTGAGATTTAAAGGCATTTTTAAATCATTCACTCAAGCATTTAAATTATAGTTACAGGCTAGATGACTTTCTATGCATGTGAACTCTATTATTCTGTCAGACTGACCAGTGGTCTTGACTGTGCAAAGGTCAGTGGTCACAGTTGTCCTGAATTACCAGTCCTTTTTTCATGTGGACCCTCTGCTGCGTTGCATGCTGTAATCTTCTTAATGGCTTCATTCCAATATTCACACATAATATTTTAGATTTATTGACTGTTAGAAATACTACCATGCCAGTAGCAGTTCCGCTACTCCTAAGGTATTTAAAATTGGAAAAATAAATCAGTGCAAGACTTTCAGGAATCCTTTGTTTTCTTAGAGGGGGGAAAAACCCTCTTTTTCCTCTCTTCTGGCAAGAACACTTGTTTTTAAATTTCATCATTTCACTGTGAATTTGTCTATTATTTTATAATTAAAAAAAAAAAAAGAAACTAAGTAGCTACTTCTGTGGGAGTAAATTTCCTAATACAATAACACTTAGATCACCACTTGAATAATGTAAGATGTTAGACAAAGAACATGTGATGTATATAAATTAGTGGAGACTGTGGACACAAATTTATAAACTTTGGGCCTGATCCTGCAATACGTGCTTGCAGTTAACTCTGACAAAAAGATTACTCCTGTGCTCAAATTTGAACACTTTCAAAAAACGCTTGGAGAATTGAGGGCATCATGTTTAGCAACCAAGTCTTACTGACTTCTCCATAGACTAAGCAGAACTTTTATAAATATAATCAGAAATTCAGAATTCAGAAAACAATAGGCTTTATAGGTTTTTAGCATCTTCTGTGGTCATTAAGTATGGTTAACCGTAAAATCTACAGAGCTGTTGAAAGATGCGTAGGCTTTGTAGCGTGTGGTGCCTGCACACTATGATGCAATACAGAATCTAAACGGGTTTTTAGAGTTTTAGTTCTGAGATTCCTAAAGCCACAGGATTTTAACACCGTAAATTGGGCATATGAACATTACTGTTCTAAAAGTAGCATTTGAGAAGTAGGCTGTAATTCTTGTAGAAAATTAAACAGTTACTTTATGAAACAATTACTAGGAGTGCAAATTATTTCTGAAAATACAATGATTAATAGTATTATAAAGAAGTTATGGTCAATGTGTAACAGTGCAACTAAAAAGATTTTTTGTAAAAATTTAAATATAATAATTTATTATGTTTTCCCATCAGAAAATAACCAAAAATATTACTAATACATTTTAGAAACTCGGAGCAGTCAACAGTGTTTGCAGTGTTATGAGGCATCTGTTTATTTTGAATAAATTCTTAGAGCTGAGATACTACTGAACCTCGATATAGTTTTAGAAACTAGAATGTGAGATTGAAAAGTACAACTAGTTTTGAAAACATTTGCATTTAAGTAGTTGTTTTCATCTAAATGAGCATTTGTGATTGAATGCTGGGGGGCTATCTGAGATGCCTAAATCCTGTGTGTGTAGATAATATCAAATATGTAGATGCCCTTTCATTAACAATATTGATTTAAATCATATCAGATTCCATTTTGTTGTAAGGCTTTTGTTTTGTTTCTCTTCTCTGCCATCTTCTCTCACTTTCTCACTGTTGAGAGTGAGCTTACTTTTATAGTGACACGATCTGATGGGGAACACCAAAAAACAGTTTAAAGCACAACAACTATCACTGATGCCAGAGAAATACCTGAATATCTTTTTTTCAGGCATGTGGTAGTCACTGGGAACCCCAGTGCATGGTTCTGCATTTCTTAGGTGACAAACGTTTTGAGTACTTCTATATATGCTTTAATTCATATGCGTGCTTAAGTTTTTGCAGCAGCAAAGGCTTTGATTAATAGTTACATCATTTTATTAGTTTATTTTTTAACTTTATATGCAGTTCTATTCTTCTACTCACATGAATATTGAAGAGATATTAGTGATGCTTTGTTTCTGATCAGATAGTTATATTTTAGGAATTTTAGGAAATAATTTAGGAAAGGACATAGGGTGACTTTTAAAAAATAATGCTCTTTTTTTTTAATGACCAACACAATATGTTTCTACATTTTAGATATACTTACTTACATACGAAAGAATAATCACATTGCAATCTTATGACTTTCTAAATCTTTGAAAAACTATTTTATTGATTTAAGTCTTCCTGAAACTCTGATTGCTCTTCATTGGTAGTGTTAGCAGCCCAATGAAGTCACCTTCCTATGAGAAGCCATTGCTAGGAGAAGATAAAACGAGTTTGCTTTCTAGTGTAATTAATAATACCATTTCTGAAATGGATCGCTAACGTCTTCCAGAAATAAATTTTAACAGTATTCTGACCCCTGTGGTTTGTTTGCACATCTTTATTTTTAAACTTTGTAAAAGACTATTTCTGCTTAAGACATGCAAAGAAGGGGAGAAAAAAAGTTTGGTATTCTTAGTCATAGATAGATAGATGGATTAAAGCATATATGAGGAAAAGATTTTGATAAAGATGCTGCTTGGTATTTTTTTGGCTTGGTGCCCGAACTGTGTATTTTCTTTGAAATTTTAAGAGCTATTAATGATGTCACCCAAAGGGGTGTCTCACTTCCTTGGTTTTAGGTTCATGGATCTAAGCAATCACAATCCTGCTGTGCACCAAGTCCTAAGTAGTTCAAAGCACGCGGTCTCTTATCTGTACCTACTGTATTGACTGTAATAACTACTTTAACGCTCTATCTTTGATTTAACTGCGGAACTGGGAGAATTTGCCAGCAACCTATCCAGATGCGCAGCCTGGCTTTGCCACCACTCAGTGGTGGGATAAGCCCTGAGAAAGCACTGTCCCTCTGCGTGCACGTTTGCTGACCTCAGCTTGAAGGAAACCTAGGCAGGTCTCAAGGGTGCTTCAAGAGTGCTTCAGCCAGGACTCTGGTTGTGACGACTGGGAAATCAGGGTTCTGGCCCACATTCTCTCTGCAGGCTTTTTCTTAAGAGCACTGTGCTCCTAGTATATCTGCAGAATAATCTAATAGAGCTCTTCCTGCCTTTTAGCATAGCCTCCTGAGAGAAGCAAAAGTTGGAGGAACTTTCTTTGAACTCCAGCATAGCTAGCCTTTTTGAGGCTAGAACTCCCTCCAGGATGGCAGCACAAAAACTGTGCCTGACTTACATATTTTTGTGCTGGAGAACCCGCCTTCAAACTGCCAGCCCATTGGGATGCTTGTAATATTGTTGAACTAATAAAGTACCAATACTGCAGTGAAGTGGGAGATTTTTTGCTTTCTATTGTTCTTTTTAACATGTTTTTGCCTAAAGCATCCTGTGTATCAATTCATGTTAGGGTACACAGGGCCTGCCAGAACTGAGAAAATCAGAAAATACCATTTTCCTTCACATCCCCCACTTTGTCCTATAATTCCTCTGCACTACATCATCTTTACCCCTTTCTTCTCTGACCCTGTCTTATTGTCTGCCATTATTTCCCCAAACTTGCAAGGTGTAATTTAGAAGAATGGAGATTTAAAAGAATGCAGAGAATTTTCTACCTTTTCCCTCCCTTATATTTAGAAGATGCTTTGTCTGTCATGACAGAGGCAACATTTTAAGGTTGACAATTCTTTTTTTGACCTCACGTTACTGCTTTTGTTTCAGTGAAACAGAGCTAATGTTGATGGGCGCATTTCCCTTATACAAAGGATATATACATTTATTTCCCCTGGAATTAAATAAACCTTATTTTTAATAACTTAAAAATAATCATACAGTACAGAACAAAAAGAAACCAAAACATGCATTTATTTTTTCAACCTTGAACTGCTTAACTGGTTTTTGTACTCAGACTTGTACTTTTTTTTTTTCTTTTGAGGAAAAAACGTAAATGAGCCTTGGTGTATGCTTTCCATGGGCTAAACGAATCAGGCTCTAAACTTTTATCTAGATCTATGGAGCTTGGATATAAATTGAAAAGATCACAGCTATGGGGAAAAGACCTATACTGTAAAGGCCTTTCTGCATAGATTATGAACATCATAACTCAATAATTTTTTTTTTCAAAACTATGGTTATAATTGGACCCAATGGGGGTCTCTCTCTTTGATCAGATCACAGTAACTGTGACTTTACACTGGAAAATGTCACTACTGTGAAGGTTTATCACCTGTAGAGCTGGTCTTTTCTCTGATGCCATGTTCAGTTCTCATTAGCATTATTCAAAGTTTAGTTGTTAATTAGGTTGACACTTCAATTACAATCATCATCTACAAGAGCAGTCAGGACTACCTGCATAAAGAAACAAAGATACTCATTCTTGCATATATTTCTGTAAGAATGAAAGCTGTTTTGGTGATAGTTTGTGTTTATAATGTTCTGTTTAAAGAGTAACTTTAAATGTGACTTTGTATAGGTTTTAGTGAATTAAATATTGCTTTATTGGGTATATTGCAATACAAAGGGATGTAGAAACGTGTATTCAACATAATTGAAGTTGACTTACTTCCCTAGATGTCCCTCATGTTGAAAAATTGGAGACTATAGAATATAACTGGGTGTAATTCTACATATCTTTAAAGAATACTGTAATAATTCCATAACTATAAGATTTTTCTCCAAAGTATCTCCAAATAAGGGTCATCTAAATTTGTATTTCTAATTTTTTTTTCCAATTCTATATAATCAGTGATTGCTGTTTGCCAAGTAAGAAAAGACCTCCTTCAAACAAAAAAGTCAAGCACTAAAATAAGAATGGTCTTTTTTTTTTTTTCTTTTTAAAAACTACAGGTGTCTCATAAATATTATTTTTTTTCCCTTTCGTATGTTTTATCTTCTAGGACAATTCTAGAGACCATGTATCACTGAATTTACACAAACTTTTCTCAACTATTTGACAGTGGTAGCAGCTACTTCCATGGTGCATGAGAAATGATGTAAGATAGTAATTTGACTTAAAAAAAAAATAAAAATCCCTAAAACTGAGTAGTAAGTGACCATTAAGAGTCCTTAAAATAAGCCTTCATAGCATAAATAAAAAATATCCAACTGTCTTCATTCAAAACAAGTAGGTACATGTTATGATTGAGAGAAAAAAAATCTGCAGAAAAGTGGCTCACATGCAGTTTACTGTAAAATAATTAAGCTTATTTATGTCAAGAGGCCTTGGGAAAAAAAGAGAGCATAAACCAATTTGCATTAGCACTCTACCATCGTCCCCTGCTTTCATTTCAATTAACAGACCAGCAGGTGCTCTTTGCAGTTAAAAAGATAAGCTATCAAGGAGGAGGATGAATTTTTGGCTGACCTGTAGACACCATGGTTTGCCTGCTGATTGGGTTCATACCTCGCTGTACCAATTTCTGAGGTGTTAATTTAACTGTTCCACTCTGTCATGCAGGTCTCGGCCTTGAAAAATAAACTGAAAAAGCAGTCTACAGCTACGGGTGATGGAGTAGCCAAGGCCTTTCTTCGGGCACAGGCAGCACTGTTTGGATCCTACAGAGATGCACTAAGATACAAACCAGTAAGGCTTCTTCTTTACTTCTTTTTTTCTTTAATTTATAAGAGCCCAGTCTCATTCTTTGTAAGGAAAATATGATATGTTTTATCCCAGTTTCATCCCAAAGAAAATGTTTTAAATCTTACTCTATGCTAAGGATACGTTGGCAATTTAGAAGTCATGACCAGCTCCTGACAGTGAGTTGTACTGAAAAATAAATACTCATCTAAAGTCAGTTATTTTCTTATTTGTATCCCTTTCATAATTTATCTAGTATAAAATCAGATTGTGTTAATGAAGCTACTTACACACAGCTCACCTGTTTTAATGTGGTGAAGAACTGAAGAGGCTGTGCCCATCATTGACCCCCATCATTTTTCACTGTACTGGTCCAGAGACTTTCCTGTGTTTGAGGCCAGAAGCTTTTTATTTGGTAGCAGAAGCCAGACATGAGTCAAACATGCATCTCTTATATTATACACTTATCTTGATTTCACTGAGAAGTTAGGAGAAATGAAAATCCATTTCATCCCATCAGAACTGGAGAATTTTTATTTCTGATGTTTTGCTGGTACTCAGTAGATTAATGTGTTATGGGCTTTCATCCTTTCTGGCTTCTGAGGGTGGCACATATTGAGCCTATTAAACATAAAATCATTAATCAGAAACAAGTTAGAGATTAATTTCATCTGTCAGTGCAGATTCTTTTCCTATGATATTTGGAAACTACTGATAGTAGTTCCATTTGATAAAATGCATTGAGATGACATAGGCTGAATCAGATTCTGAGGATATGATGTTTGGTGGTCTGACTAATTCCGTTGTTTATTGAGATTTGATAGGAGAAAATCATCCTTGCTTGAGGTATCAAGTTTGTAAATCTGGTGGGTGTGTGGGTGCGTGGGTGAATGTTTGTTTGGAGGCGAGGAGGGCAGTATATTCTGTCGGGTAAGGAGCTATGTGGTATTCCTTCATGGAAATGGATAGGGTCATTACTAATTCCAGATGAGGCCTTTTCCTAGAGGAAACATTAAAATACAGTGTGGCAGGGTCTTTTTTCTACCCAAGTGATTCTCTTACAGGTAGTCTTTTTTGCCATAAGTGTTGTACATGCTGTCTGTGCCACTGACAACAATTGTTATTGAGATGAAAAGTAACCCATGCAGAAATGATGTTTAAGGGTTTAGTTCAAGTATTTGTGTTTAGCGGTCATTATAGTTTTCTTATGATATGGAAAGCCAGTTTGCATGCTATATTGAAATGACTGTACCTATTTTCAAAATTGCTAGAGTTCAACACAGTGTTAGTTTGATTAAAACAAATAATTCCAATAAAGCAGATAGTTGTTGTTTATTCCATAGTGGCATTACCTGACATTGCTTCACTGCTTATCTAATTTGTCCCTTAGTCTAAAGGTGAGGACACTGGTCTGTGTCAACTCATGGCAGCTTGCAGTAATGGTTATTAAGCCAAAAAGTGTCTTAATCTACAGTCGATATATGCAAACAGAAGGATGTCAGTCTAGTTGACGTCCTTACTTCTCTTCTGACCAGAAATAGGCTTCAGTCAGTCCTTTGTTTTGGTAAATTGGTTGAACTGAATGTGGAAGTTCTTTAGCATTCTGATTAGCATCTTGGTTGAAATGAGCTCTCCTTTTAACTGATTTCCATTTTATTTCAGTTTATCCGTTGGCATATCTGAGTTATCTACATTTGCAGTGTATTGGAAGTAGTGCACCATGCATCATTTCAACTGGCAAACATTTGTCAAAGTGACCTTTGCAGTTTTTCTTTCTGCATTATTTTCTTTTGCCTTTTTTTTTTTTTTTTTTTTTTAAACCACATTACTTCTTGCTAACAGAGTTTTTGCATTCAGTAAAAGCCTATAGTTTTTTTCTTCATTTTTTTTTTTTTCCTTTTTTTTTTTTTTTTTTTTGGCTCCACTCATTGCATATAAGAGAGGATATTTATGAAACCATTGTGGCCTGATGGTGGGTGGTTTTTTGTTTTTTGTTTTTTTTTTTTTTAAAGATATGTTATTTCAGAATGTCTTAACAGGCAGAAGTCTGCTGGCAAATACCAGCATATCTTGGACTGGCATCAACTTGTCCAAAGACAAAGCATATTTAAAAAAAAACAATAAATTGTAACTTATTTTGAGCTGTGTTCACATTGTTTTAACTAGTTTTAGTATTTTACAGAATTTTTATTGTGATAGAAAAATTTATTAGAAGCTGAATTTGCTCTGGATTAGTAGAAACTAATAGGAGTTGTCCCATGATTGTTGAGCTCATTTTACATGAGCCTTTTGAACTCAGTTTAATGCATTGTGAATTGGAAAGTTCAAAAGATCAAGTCACATTTATAGAATCATAGAATTGTTTAGGTTGGACGAGACCTTTAAGATCATCAAGTCCAACCATTAACCTAGCGCTGCCAAGTCCACCACTAAACCATGTCCCTAAGCACCACAGCTACCCACCTTTTAAAAACCTCCAGGCATGGGGACTCAACCACTTCCCTGGGCAGCCTGTTCCAATGCTTGACACCCCTTTCGGTGAAGAAATTTTGACTGTATTAGGACCATTTGTCAGGAGTCTCAAAACTTGTGAATTGCTATTTTAAAGAAAATACTACCTTTTTTTTTTTTTTTTTTTGGTGCTAGATCAAATAAGGAAATCTAAACCAGAGCTATGGACTTCATTTACATTCTTTCAGGAGCTCAAGTAGTATTCATGTTGAAAATTTCTGGGGCTGTATTTAAATCAGAATATTTTCTATATAGATTTGAAATACTTTTGCAATAAATAAGCTTCAGAATCAATAACTGAGAGGTTTTGGGGTACCATTTTTAGGATCACAAACATTCTGATGAAAAATAAAATAACGTGTTTGGATAGTTATCGATTGCTTGTAAGTTGAAAAATATGTTTAAGTGAACTATTTTACTTACAACGGTGTGTTCTGTATGATTTCAACTTGAAACATGGAACAACTGTCATTAATATTCACTTTGAGTAAAGAACAGCTTTGATAGTGTCTGTACTCATCCAACACTTCTCTTCACTCCAAACGCTGTTCATCATGCTGAACACTCATTCTGTGCAACTGTTTGTTTTCAGCATAGGACAGATTCTCCTCGGTACAGCAATATGTCTTGAACAAACGTCTAGCAATTATTGAAAAAAAAAATGATTGGTGAAAAGGAAAATGCGAAGCTTCAGGGGTCTTGGAAGGAGTTCATGGGACTCCAAAAGACCATATGGAAAATTTGACTACTCTAATGCAGACAGGAAATATGACATGTAAGAGATAAAGGTGATCGTATTTTTTTGTGTAATAAATGGTAATAAAAATCTCAATCCTGTAAAAGTTTCCAAGAAAAGTGGAAATAGTTGTTTTTTCTGATTTAGTCTGGATACTGAATTAAAGAACTCAGTCAAATTGATATAACTGCCAAGAGTATTTTTGTAATACGCTACACTGTACATTAGCAAATATTGCATAATAGGAGCGGATCTGTAGAGCAAAACAGTACAGTTGGTGCTAAGGACCTGACATCCACACAGTGTGCATTTCTAGCTTTATTGTGGTTCTTACTTGAGTCTGGTGTTGAATACTGAATATCCATGACTAGCTGGAGCTCATTTTCTGCTTTAGTTTAATCCGGAAGGAATCCAGTTAATGCATGGTAGATGGGGACGATTGAAAAAATTCTTTATACAACCTCTTTTACTATCTTATCACTGTTCCAAAATTTTGATAGGGAAGGGAAAAAGAAAATAAAACAGATTTTCATCTTTATTTACTTCACTGTCATTTGATAAATGACTGAAAAATAATCCAGAACAAAATTGTCATCAGTGGAATAGTGAATTAGAATGTTTTTGTATGTGGTCCCATTCACATAAAGGACTGCCACCTATTTTGATAGGGTAATGTGCACAGACTTTGAGGGGGGGGTGTGGTGTGTCTCCAGCAGTGCAGACCTACAGCCGTGGCAATGAGGCTGTTCAAACTGTTTTGCTATAAGGAGTCCTGGCATATAGAAGGGCAAGCGGTCAGTGCATGGTTGTACTCAGCCAGCTAGCAGCTGTGGTATGAGCCATTGTGTGATCTGCAATGTCAGTGATCACAAACAGTTTGGATCACAAGAGTCTAATCCTGCTGAGGCATTGCAATGATCAGAGTGTTGTGACATAAGTGTTACTTGTACCATGTAAATGCATATACAAATCCAAATTATGTTTACTTTGGGTGGTCAGAACTTAGCCTTGAACCTTTTGTTGCTCCTATTTTCTTTAGGTAGTCCAGCATTTGGGAATTTATTGTGGGATAAGATTGCACGTTCCATGTTTCAGAATTATGTGCATCGGTGGGAGTTAGATACAAAGATTGCAATTGTGCAGTTTGTGTCATTTTGTCAATCAGTGTATGTGCAACATTGTGTTTTTTCTAGCTATTTTACTTTACACGTTCTTCATATGTCATTTTTAAGCATCCTTCCTTATATCAGACAAGAGCCACGCCAGTCAAACATTTCAACAACTCTGTGGTGGCAAGGGAAAACGGGCCTTACACATGTACTTGTGCAAACCTTGCAGATGAAAGCAAAGACTACTAAATTTTTTCTATTGCTCATATACAGTATGGTCAGTTAATAAAACACTATATGATGTAAAGAATTCTTAAACAGGCAATATTCCCACTGACAATCTATGTCTAAAGAGGGAAAGGTAGGTAAGAGAATGAGGAAGGAGTGGAAGAATAATGAGTATAAAAATATTTACCATAATAGAGAGTAATTTTAACATCGTCAGGAATATAAGCAAAGCAGAAAAGCTGTTTGCTCTTGGGCAGCAAACATGAGGAGGATATATAGGTGTGATTTTTTAAAACAACAATAACTTATTTTCTACCTTTGAAAAATGGGCTTTCCTTCAAGAATTAGCTAACAAAAGATTAAGTTATTGAAAAAAATTGCCTCTTTGGGGGAGAAGGTCCTCAAAGCTCTTGATGTTACAACAAAAGAAAGAAACCCAGGATAACTTTAAGTTATGATGGTTGTAGCATCACTCATCAGAAATTAAGAAATGAAGAGCAAAGGGTAATGGCTTGCTGTGGAATGCTCAGCAGTAGGAGTTCATGGTCTCATCAGCACGCCAGGGTGCTGAGATAACTTCCAGCTTGAAGATAGCACAACCTGTCAGACCTCACTTTAATTGAATGCTAACTGGAGTGCTTTGGGCCAATATTGACACTATTTTAAGTAGTGACATTGACTCTCCAACAGTTGCAGGTATTGTATTCAATATACAATAAAGCAAAATAATACAATTAAATGTTAAATTAGGAAAAAAAATAGATATTTTAAGATTCAGAATGCACCTGAATTACTTGAGAATGCATAAGTAATGGTTGCTTATAATTGAGTTTCAAAATGAAACCTTTTGAGGACAGGTATCTCTTGAAATGGGCATTGACTTGTTTACCTTTCCTCCAAGAGTTAGGCATAAAAAGTATAGCAGAGTACAGAAACAGAGAAAGAGTAATGAAACGCCGGAATATTGTTTGTGTTTAAATCCAGAACCACCCTGGGTAATATCCATTATGACTATTTATTGTGACTTCCATAAGAATTTTAATTATATGTTGAAAACCATATTGTTTAATTTGTCTTAAGGATCGTAGTAGTCCTTTATTGAATATAGATATTGTATTAATAGGAGTTGTTGCAGGTTTTAATTGTGACTATAAGACATATCATCATATGTGAATCTTTCTTTGGGTAGATTGCAAGAAATTTGCAAATTTTGCAGAAATTTGTTTGTAATTTTAAATCACACCTTCCTGAGTAGAATCATAGGTCATACTCAGTTATCCCCCGGCCTTTATCTCTGACTGTCATGACAACAGCTGAAATTTCAGCTTTGTACTTCCTGTATTTTAAACAGAGGAATTTTAATATCAAAACCAAAATCGTGTTTAAAATTTTGTTGTTTGTTTTATTTTTAAATAAATTATGCAAAACCAAAGAAGCTATGCCCATACCTACCTACCTTATAGTCTTCACGTAATAAGCAAGAGCTACCATATGAAATGGTATTAATTATAGCAATAGTACAAATAGTTGGTATGAGTCATCTCATGCTAGAGAGGAGATGTGAATGTTTTCTGAAATAAGGAATTTAAATGTTTGTACTTCTTGTTCAAATTAAATAGCACTAGATTTAGAAAGCACAAACTTACCTTCTAACTTAGATTATTTTTCCTTTTAAAATGATCATGCTGTTTTAGTTCACTGTTTTCACGTTGCATTGAGGTCTGTATAAACAGCTTGCTTAAAATGTATCTTAGAGTAAGAAATTCC